ATTTGGCTTCATGATAAATACGAAGTATTAAACAAGAATTGATTGAATGAGAAACTAATTATTCGTATTTCGTAATAATTAACCACGCAATATGAGAAATGACACATGAATGGCTTGATATCGACCCAATAAGAAGGTAAAATTCAATAATTACTGTAGTTTAAAAATGACCTTATTTGGACTTAATGATTTACAACTAAAATTTAATTTTAATGATTTACTTTATATGTCAATCTAGAGGTTATATAAACGGAGGGTTGAGAGAGATTTAGAAGTGTCTCGCATGGGTAGGTTGGTCATTTCATGCAGGATTTAAATTTTGTCATTTTAGATTCAGTGGTACAAAATATATTTTTAGTGGTATTTAAAAAAAGGTTCAAATGTCCAATTAGGATGTCAAATAATACCATTTCATCTCAGTGGTACAGAATACACTCCCAGTGGTACTCAATGTGGTTTCAGTGGTACTTATAAAAATGCTCAGTGGTGCAAAATATACTCTTAGTAGTTGTGGTCCCAATTTTTTTTGTCGTTTTTGCACGTGAAACCATTTATGACTCCAAAGGTGGGCCCTACCTCACCTTTTTGTCACACTCTCTATCTTTCTCTTCCTTTCTCCCTCTTCCTAGTACATTTGCTATATTATTTTATGTCGTGAGACATTTTATTTTTTCTCACAACCCTTGAAATGTACTTCCTCGTCGATCTAAGGGTAAAACTTATAGGCTCTTCACTCAAGGACAATACAGTCAATGTCATGTTATGATCTGGACAAATAGTACACTGTAATAGCATTGCAATGACAGCTTCTTACACGTTAACGTGAACTTGCATTGACAGTTATTGTGACGTTAAACAACTACCAATTATTTCTCTAATTTTAGCTATAAGCCTGTAATCAATAGTTCAAACTTTTTTTTTTTGAAAACAATCAACAGTTCAACATTAACTGCAATAGTAGGAACATTTACATTTTTGAGACAAACGAAGAGAATTTAAAGTGTGGAGGTGTTAATAAATTAATATACTCGAACCACTTGCCCAGGAGGGGTTTCGTGGGCTTTTAGAGCGGCGGGGGAGGATTTCAGTGTTTTTTCGAGGAGAGAGATAGGGTTTACGGGAATGAGGCTTGTGGCGGTTGGAGGGTTGGGGTGGGTTCGCTAGTGGTGTCTTGAGGATTTGGGTGGGTTTTTTCAGTGGGGTAAGGGGGATTGGGGCGGTTAGGGTATGGGATTCCGGTGAGCTGTGGGTGGTGGTGGAGGGGTTGTGGGTGGGGGTTTCATTTTTTAAAAAAGTTTTTTTTCAAATTTTTTTTTTCTTTTTTTAGACCAATCACAACGTGACACATGTCACGTACCTTGTGATAGAAAGTCATTAACTCTTTTGACCTAATTTTAGTGCCAAAATGATCGACCCATTTGCATTAAAATACTCACAAATTTATGGTTTAAGTGCAATTTATGGTTTAAGTGTAAGGGACTTTAAGGTTGTTGGATGACTTAATTTATTTCATATCCCCACATGAAAGGATTAGGGGGAGATATTATTCATTTCGTTATTATATGTAATCCTTACACATGAATTGTATGATATATTGATCGTTATTAGTGCATACATTAGTATTAATATGACACCATCCTGATGATGGATGTAAATAAATGAATGTCATTGATCATTACTAGTTGTAAATTCTCCAATTAAAATTATTGTCCTAGAAGGACATTGGTTACTAATGAAACCTAAAGTACGGCTGAAAGCGTTGTAGTCCAATAGATTAAATAATAATAATAATAATAAGAACCTTTGGAAAAAGGAATGGAGCAACTATTGACAATGAAAAATTTGAAGAAATGATAAATCTAGTTACATTTCTAGAATAAAATCATTTTAAGGAAAATCAATATGTCTCATGATTATATAAAAGTCTCCAAAACAGTATGAAATATCCAACAAGATTAATTAACATATATCAAGATTATAGTCAAAACTCCAGCATAGTATATATAACTAATTATTGGATAAAATATAAGTTGGTTGTCTTGCCAATTGTATAAAGAAACACATGTTGGTGTTCTAATATCACATCACATTCATGGCCATGCATGAAATAAGTTTAATAAAGTGATCACTAATGTTGGAAAACTGACCAAAGTTCAAATCTAGAGAAGTGATTGGATGTGATAATTAAATTAGGACATCCGGGTTTAATAAATTCCCGTTATGAAAACCCGAAGTTTCATTTGATTTGAAAGAAATAATGTGCTGACGCTCTCTCATGTTAAATATATGAAATAAATTGAATGACAAGACCTAAGATTGAGATTGAGCTATATTTAGATTGTAATTTTTAATAGTTTGTGTAAAAAGAAAAGTTCAAGAGATAATATATTGGTTTTTCTGAATAATTGGTGACCAGAAGTTCACTAGAATAATTTATATATTGAAAAATATTAGGTGACCAGAAGCTCACCACGTACAAGTTATATGTTAAAATTTTAAGTAACTAGTATTACTTTTAATGTTTCTAGTGATCTCGAAGATCACCATCTAATGAAATTACAAGAAAGTTTATATTTGTATAGCAATTCTCTTGATTGGGTCTATTGTATGTCAGCACATAAGGAATAAAATAAGAAATATAAGAAATTAGCAACTTCACAATTTATTACCCCCTATTAATAATGATCTCTAGAAGAGAACAAAATTTCATTATTCTCCAGAAGAGATAGAACTTTGTTGAATATATATGATTATCCTACGAGATGAAATTTGATGCACATGAAATTATATTCTAAGTTGGTGAAGAATTGCCCCAACATTTGAGATATTTTACCAACTTAGGGGGATGAATTGAAGTAAGTTGGCAAAATTATAATACTATAAATAGTTGATCCCTCTAATGATACTTTGTAAAGTTACATGCCAAATTTTGCATCAACATATGTTGCACATCTATAATTTGATTAAAATACCGTTATGACCCATCTAGAGGAATAGAGAGATATATTTTGATTATGGTGATAATGATATTATGTGCATACATTAAGATAGATCTTTCCAATTTACTTTAAATCACTGCACCTGAAGTGTAGTTTGTATGATCGGTTCCAATATAAATATGCGATATACGACAAGATAGTGCAGTTGATACTTCTAAAGTATAATAATAGTATATTACCATAGTGTGCGAAATACCCTTAATATGTGGTATACATATCTGAATTATTATAATAGATGGCCTATTATGTAAGAAAAATTATGATGGTACCAATGAGAAATGCATTTAGATATCATAGTAAAATAGCATGCGAAATATACGTTATAGGAATTTTATGATACTGGTACACAATGGAACCGATAAATAAAATGCATATGCATGATATAATGGACTAGTGAATAAGGGATCTGGAATATATGTCCATTTTAATGTTGACATAATGATAATAATAAAAGTTTATCATGGACCAGAAGTCCAATGAAATATGGATTTTAAAATCCACACTGTATAATGTCTTGCATTATTTAGAGTCTTATGTATGTTCATATACATGTGTGAGTCATAGGTTAATGAATTATTCATTTCATATATTGAAAGTTATTAGATGCATTACTCATTATATATTTTGTTTTCTATATCTCATATTGATGCATTAGTTCTATATAATATTTGTGGTATATGTGAATGTCTGTTCAAAATATATATAGTATGGCGTATTTGTAACTTTGAAGGAAAATTACAAAGAAAAATTTAAATTCCTATGGGCTTATAGTTGTGATGAAATTATTGAAAACGTCGATTTAATAACATGTTATGAATCATGTAAGAAGAGTTCCTGAAGAACTTATGTACGATGTATTTAAATAACCAGCCCTACAAATTTTTTAATATTACAATTATCAAACTCTTGAAATTTTTTTTAATAACCTGAAGTTTGAGTATATAAGAGTTAGTGAGATTTACTATTTGTATTCGTAGAAAAATTATTGTGTAGTTAATTATGAAACGTCTAAAGAATATCAATGGATCACTTATGCGTGACAATGTTTTCTTATGGTCCAAAGAACCATGATTAGTGTATATAATTACATGTGTTATATTATAATTCATATGAGAAGAATGATATTAATAATATCAAGTTTTGTCATCAAATTATTACTCGTATTAATGAATGTTTGATCAAATAATGATCATCAATCAATCAATAACTATATACTAAAAGACACACCATCAATGACATGTGTCATCTCCTGGTGTGTCCTTAGATTTTTTTTTTAAAAAAATTATTTAAGATTTTTTTTTTAAATATATAAAGTATTATATTAATTTCCTACAAAGTGTAAGAGAAGATTTTGATGAATCTTTCCAAAATAAAACAGATTGACAATCATAAACTTAAGCAAAAAAAAAAAAAAAAAATTAAGTATAATTAAGTCTTAACATAATTTGTTATGGACTATTTTTTGGTAGGAAATACATATTAGATACTATGTATGTTTATTACAACAAGATTATACATTTTTTCTTGATTTTGTTTTTAATTATGTAATAGAACGAAGTTACAAGCTTAAATAACGAAATGCGAGTGTCAAATCATCAAATGATGCTTTATTTATTTATTTATTTATTTCCTTGAATGATTTATGATTAAAATTTCAATTAATTAGTAATGTAGGAATACTTCAATAATACATGCCAAGAACAACACATGTCACTAGTGGGAAAAAGCTTATTTGCAACAAGCTATTTTTAACGGGCATATGATTTCCCGTTACAATTACATCATTTGTAACGGGCAAAATCAATGTCCGTTACAAATAAGCTGTGACTTGAGCAGGAAAAAATATATTTGTAACGGGCAGATTAGTGCCCGTTACGAATAAGTTGTTATTTGTAACGGGCGGAATAATGCTCGTTCCCATTACAAATAACAACTTATTCGTAACCAACAACTCTTGCCCGTTACAAATAACCAACTAGTCGTAACCAACAAGTGTTGCCCGATACAAATAACCCACTAGTCGTAACTAACCAGGAATGTCCGTTACGAATAATTTTTCAAAGTAAACCCTAACTTTTTAATTTCCCCTTTCTCATCAATCTCTCTCATCAAAATATTTCCCCTTTCTCTCTCCAATAATATTGAAGCTCAGTTCGAACCTCAGCTCCCCGAACTCCGGCTTATCCTGAGCTCGTCCTTTCCAAACTCTGGTGGTCCTCAGCTCCCTCAACTCCGGTCGTTCCTCAGCTCGGTCCTCTCCAAACTCCGGTGCGCTCTCTCGTCGCGACTCAGCTGCGCTCTCTCCATTGAAGCAGCGCTCTCTACTCCCTCTCTCACGCAGCTGCGCTCTCTCCATTGAAGCAGCTCAAGCTCTCCCTTCCTGCTCAAGAATCTCCCATCAATAGCTTCTTGTAAGCTCAATTTGATGCTATCTTTCTCTCTCCTCCCCCAATTTCGTAACCCTTGTTTAAATTTGCTTAATTGGAATTACTAAATTATAGGCTTTTTTTTTTTAAAAAAAAAAAATTCCGATTTAATTGATTGATTTTACATGTTTAATTTGATTTTTTCCATTCGGTGGAAATAAATCTTAAATTCATAATGTTTTAGATGGATTCGAATTAAGATTCTAATTTATTTCTGGCTGAAAAGTCCATTTGATTTTTCATAAATAAAATCATGGTTAAAGCTCAACTATATAGCAAGATTGAAAAAGGTAGATTGATATACTCTATAGTAGATGTCTGTAGTATAACTTTGCATTTTACTAGATGGAAATGCGAGGGGTAACACGGGATTGTAATTATGAAAGGGTGTTATAAATAATACTGTTATTATAATAATATTGAATGGTAAAATAATTATTTCAGGAATAAAAGGGGAAAGCCAGTGATAATTGATGTGGCTTTTTTGGTGGGCTGTTAAGCAAAGGGGTCTTGTTATAACTCTTTGGTTTGTGGGGGATTTCTCCTAAATTCTGTAGTATTTCTTGTAGCGCTTGAATTTTTTGGGGTGTGTTGTTGTTGTTGTTGTTGAGGTTTTTGTTATAACTAACCAGGTGTGGTGTGGATTGTTGAACTCTATGTGTGCTGTAGTTGGTTTTTGCAGAATCAGGAGTCCTCGAGATCGTAGAATGCGATCTCAACACCCTTCTTTTCGTGATGTTCCATATAGGAGAGATGCACGTCGGGGTTTCAGGTGGTTTGATTTTAACAATGCTCTACAACTGTTTGTTGGGTAGTGTAGTTGGAAAAGAATAAAAGTTGCATAAATTGGGGGGAGGGGGACAAAAAGAAAGGAAAGTAGTTGTTAAATGAGATGATAAATGAACTAATCAGAGTTTCAAGAGCAATTACACTAAGCTGTATTGCCAAAAGGAACCATATTTTCCAGAAATTATCATATATGGTGGATGATGTGTGTGTTGTTTTAAAATTTGTATTTTCCTTTTCCTGGTGATATTACCCAATGTTAGTGTTTTAGGGTTTGAAATGTATGATTAAGCTCCTCTGAACTTTAGGCAATACTTGGTATTTGTTCAGCAGCATAGTGAAGTCACTGCTGATAATTTTCAGTTTGTAGTACTGGAGTTCTGGGGAACCTGAGCAAGTCGTGTCTTGCCTTTAATGGTCCACACTGTCTTCATACTTTGGCTTCTCTACATTATTATATTCGCTTCCTTATTTCTTTTCTATTAAATATTTTAATAGTGTTGGTTTCACACTAGATTTAGTGGTTGAGAGTCGCTTTCATAAGTTCTTTTTGTTCTTTATAAACTCCATCACTTCATTCTTCAGCTATATTGGGCATCATTATCAGTGGGATATCTTGGCTGGTTTGATGAGCCGCAGAATCGTCATCTTTCTAGAATTATATTAGTAAGGCCCTAATGCCCTATCGGGCAATGTTTTATATACCTTCATAACCATCATAAGTAAGAGAGAGAGAAAACTATTTACGGTTGGTGTATAATATATTGGCTTCTTTTCCTTTCTTGCTTGTGCAACTCTCTGATGTCAGGTCCAGAAATTGTCAAAGAAGAACATTAAGTGGTAGAGCATGGGTTTGTACAGGAACTAATCACTTTCAAGGAATTATGATTCTGAATTTCACAGATAAAGGTTGAGAATATATGTCAATTTTGGAATTTCACAGATAAAGGTTGAGAACTAATCACTATATTGTCATGGTTTGCTCATTTCTGATTTTATTTCTATTGGCAATTTTATGTTCGAATTATGATATTTTAGTGGTTTAATACTACTTATACTACTAGGCCTCTCAAAATAACACGTCTACAATAATATAAGCTAATACAGGATAACTAGTTTCAAACAGAGGTATAAATGGGATTCAACATAGCTTATAAGAAGTATTTTCTCATAGGACAAAAACCATATCATGTTGACTAGCTCCTAAAAGACTTACCTTTGTCATATACGGGAATATATTGGTAATGTCTGAGTGCATCATCCTTTTAGATTACTACCAGTAGCATAGTTTGCATGAAAGTTGAGTAAAGTATGGTTTTTTAATACATTACTAGGAATAAATAATCAATCCGTCTTATGTCTAATATAATTAGACTTATGTTTGGCATTTACTGATCTACTACGCTATAGATTTGCTACTTCAAGTCATGCAAAAATCAAGCTTATTTTGTGTCTCTAAATATATATAAGTGGTACAATATTATTGTCTAATTTTATAGTTCATTTCTCACATCGATCTTTTGAGAAATCTTTTTTTGTTACTTAGTAGCTGATGGTCTATGTTCATGCTGAGAATGAGTTTAACGTTAAAAGTTTATCTGCAATGCATTCCCCCTCAAAGTGTTGTTGCTGGAAATATGATACCTTTGATAAAATAGTTGTTCTATTGTTTTCATGTCGTAACATTTTTTACATCCACCTACATACAATGGTACATCCTATCAGATGTAGGGCAGTTGCTCTCTCTTCACCATCCTAAATTTGGTAATATTCAGAAATATAGTTTAGTGCATCCTATCTTGTGTTATTGAAACAAGACTCTATGATCATTACATTTCAAAGATGACTTTATCTTATTATAATCATTATATTTAAAAATATACCATGATTGGTAAGCCTTTTTCACAGTAAGGCTTGTTATTTTTGGTATGCTCCATGCTCCTCTTGCTATTATCTTGAACTTGATACTATTGCCGTTGTTGATGAGCATGAATTTAACTTGAAACATGATAATAAAAGTGTTGTTTTGAATAGTACCCCACAGAAGGATATTCCATTCCGATTGGAAAAGCTATGTGATAATTATTTTTTTCCATTAAGTGAGAATTCTCAAACTCTTTATATATGTATTTACTTTTTCCATTTGTTGAATTTTGTATGTTGAATAATCTTTTGTTTCTTACTAGTGTCTGTCTTCCTTTTGCGCAAGCGACCTCACCAGTCCTTCAGTTTCAAGGGCAGTAAAGACACCAAGCAGGGATTTAACATGCTTTACTAGTGACAGGAACGTTGATGTAGATGAGTATGACAAGTACTCATCTGCTAAACAAAAAGAAGGGGCAGCTTTTCAATGAGCCTAATTTACATAACTTGTTTTCTGGACATTATTCAGACACTATCACCAAGGATACATATAGCAAGGACCAGGAGTCTGAGTGTGCTGCTTGGAATACAAAAGCTCTGCTTGCTTTGGGTGGTGAAGTTTTCTGTTTTCTGTTGCTCTCGATTGCTGCTGTTGCTACTGGCCTACTGTTGTTTTGCTTATAATGTATTTCCTAACTAAATTTTGTAATCAATAGTGTTTTGGACTTCTTAATAGGAGAGTTTATAATTAGCATACAAAATTGGATTTGGTGTATATGTTATGTTAGATAATGTTTGTGGCATGAAATATTTGGGTTTGTTATAAATTATTATAATAATTTAGGTGGTAAATGGAAAGAAGAATAGGGGTATTTGTAATTAGCACCTGAAATGCTAGTTACAAATGCCCCTAATTTTTTGTCTTATTTGGAGATTATTCGTAACGGGCATTGTAATTGTCCGTTACAAATAACTTCTTATTCGTAATGGGCACTTACAATGTCCGTAACGAATAACCCATTATTCGTAACGGGAATCGTAAGTGTCCATTACGAATAAGAACTTATTCGTAACGGACATTGTAAGTGTCCGTTACGAATAAGTACTTATTCGTAATGGGCATTGTAAGTGCCCGTTACGAATCATGGGTTATTCGTAACGGGCGTTTCAAGTGCCCGTTACGAATAATGACTTATTGTATTACAATAACAACTTATTCGTAACGGGCACCTGAAATGCCCGTTACGAATAACCCATTATTTGTAACGGGCATTTCAGGTGCCTGTTACGAATAAGTTGTTATTTGTAACGGACAGTGCCCGTTACGAATAACAATGGCCATCCGTAACAGCCGCATACGTAACGGACGCTGCCCGTTACGGATGGCCTTTTTTCCACTAGTGTGTTGATTATTCTTAGTGTAATTTTTCCTATCATTTTTTTGTAGATTTTCAATATTCAATTGATATGAATATAACATATGGAAGTTAAAAAATATAATATAGTGTTAATTTTAAAAATATTTATTGAAAATTATCGTGCATGGCACGGGACGTAACCTAGTATTTATTATTAACGACTTCCCACATGTATGGTGAAATGAAGACACTTCACATGTTCACGTGAAGACTTGAAGAATTGAAGATGCAACTTCAGCTTAGGAGAGTCGAAGATCAACGAATGATACTTTACTTACTACATATGAGAAGATATCCAAACATATTGGATTCATCGTTGCGGCACTAGAAGATCTCAAGTTATGTATTCATCAGGGGGAGAAAATACGCGCAACACTCTTTTTCCCTTGATCATGGTTTTGTCCCAATTTGGGTTTTCCTGGTAAGGTTTTTAATTAGGCCGCATCTCGAGCGTATTATGAAGAATGATATACTCTTTTTCCTTCACTATGTTTTTATCCCACAGGGTTTTTCGTAGTATGGTTTTAATGAGGCACAGTTTTCAATAATGGACATCCAAGGGGGAGTGTTATGAAATATTGTATGGATATCTATTATCCTCCTTTATCATTTCGGAATATTCTAGAACTAGGGTTTATTGTTATCTAAGCAAACCCTAGTTATATTGTATGTATATATATATATATCTCCGCTCTATGGAATAATATAGACTGATCTACTCTCCCTAATTTCTCCTCTTTCTCTTTAATTTTATAACATAACTTTTTTATTTATAATAATTTTTTTTACAGAGGGTAAAATGGTCCACTCAAAAATTCCCAACCAAAAACACCTCTTCTCTTTATATATTACATAGATACACTAGATACTAGATTAGTACTCGTGTGATGCACAATTTATAATTAACTTTTTTTAACATCATATTACTCCGTATAAACTACTCCCTCCGTCCTCTTTTGATAGTCCATTATGGACAAATTTTAGTCCCAAAATGTTCACCCCATTTTCCGTGTTTTTTTAAGTGTTACACTTTTCATTTCTGGACGCGTTTTTTTTAAGTGTTACATTTCCTTTTTTTGGCAAAAAACTACATTAAAATATTATATCTCTCTCTCCTCTCATGGTCCCCACCTAAACCCACTACTACTTTTTTTTATTATATCTTTCCTCTCACATTCATTACTTTTCAATAAACTATTAACCCTACAATCTTTCTTTTACAATTTTTTAAGGAAAATTGTAAACTAATAATCCCACCTTTGTTACTTCTACTCAAAACAATCCCACCTTTTCGAATTCCCAAAATAATCCCACCTTTAATCCTCATCTTCTTAAAACAGGCCTTATGATCCACAACTTGTTCAACAGGTTAAATTTTTTTTTTCTTTTTCTTTTTTTTTATTTTTTATTTTTTTCAATCTCTCATCTTAAACCTTAGCTTCCCACCATAACCACCACCACCCTTCCATAAGAACCACCACATCACCACCTAACCCCACCACCTTCTTTCTCTCTCCTAACCCCTAGCCACCACGAAACCCACCAACCCACGAACCCCGACCAACCACCACAAACCCCAACAATCCACAAATCCCCATCACCCACGAATCCCACCACCCACGATGGCCACGAAACCCACCACCCACGAATCCCGACCACCCATGAACCCCGACCACCTACGAACTCCAGCCACTACGAACTCCCACCACCGACAAATCCCGACCACCCATGAAACCCAAACCACCCCCGCCGATCTCACCCATGAAACCAACAAATCCCGACCACCCACGAACCCCAACCACCACAAACTCCCACCACCCACAAATCCCGACCACCCATGAAACCCAAACCACCCCCGCCGATCTCACCCACGAAAACCACCAACCCTGAAATCCCGACCAACCCACGAAACCCACCAACCTCGGAATCCTGGCTAACCCACAAAACCCAAACCACCTACGAACCCTGATCTCCCATGAAACCCAAACCACCTTGAAATACCGCCGCCTACAAACCTTGACCACCCACGAACTCCGATCTTACCCACGAAACTAGGAATGGGGAGGTTGGGAAAGGGGAGGTGGGGAAAGGGGAGGGTGATGCGGTGGACGGTGGTCGGGAGTTTTTTTTTTTTTTTTTTTTTTTTTTTTTTTTTTTTTTTTTAATAAATTGCAAAAATTTAAATTATACCAATCAGATGGTGACACCGTGGCAAGTCACCTACTATAATAAGTTACCCGTTTCACAAACCGGTAAAAGTCTCATTTTGAGAAGATGGGGGTCAAAGGTGGGATTGTTTTGGGAATTCGAAAAGTTCGGATTGTTTTGAGTAGAAGTGGCAAAGGTGGGATTATAAGTTTCCATTTTCCCATTTTTTAATACTCCAACTACCCCATTTACCTCTTATTTTATTTAAGTATATTAAATTGCCTAAAATTATGTGCCGGATAAACTATAACAATTAAAAACACGGAGGAAGTATTAAATTTATACCAAAATTTCTTCCAATTTGCAACAATATTTGTGCAAATTTAAATTTTTCATGTAAATATTGTTTTCCCATGTACTTTTATTAATGTCTCTCTCTACTTTTTTGCATACCCAATGTCAATTTACTTTTTCAATGTACTTTAACTATTTTTATTTGTGTTTATTATTCCCTTGAAAAATGCCCACAAGGGACTATGAAAAGGGAACGGAGGGAGTAATTTATTTAGCAACAAATTATGTAAAAGAGTCTTTTTGGGAAGAGAAACATCACTAATGGGTTTTTGGTATGTAATATTCACACTTATATATTTTTTTAAATCATATTTCTAAACTTTGAATTTGGATTTTATTGGAAAGATGAAAATTTGGGTAGAAAATAAATAAATAAATAAGATGCTATTAGCAATTTTTGAGGGAAAACTTTCAATAAAATAGTACCGAGTACTATGTGTATAAATTGATGTCAATAGTTTTTACTGTAGCATAAGTTATAAATAAATGTATTGGAGATTCTCAATGGTAGCCCCCTACTTTTCTGAATTCCACATGGTAAATATTCCTCTTGCTTGAAATAGAAGTGCACAATAGTCTACACTCTACTTGAGTGAAAGTGGCATCTTATGACAAACGAACCATGCCCACAAATTTTGAATTTTATTACCCCTCATTTATTAATAGGTGTTCGCATTGGAATTATAAAGACTAAGACCCTGTTTGGTAGTAAGCTTATTAGGGGTATATTAGCTTATTTGACTAACTTTAGCTGATTGACTAGTCAAACAAGCTAATACAAGTGTTTGGTAGTAAGCTTATTGAAAGAGCTTATTCCACTAAATAAGCTCTTTTTGAAAAAGCTCATTTTAGGAGCTTTTTCAATTAGCTTATTCATTAATTATTGTGAACTGACACTTATAACCTCATTTAATTTAAAATCCTATCTAAACTACCTACCCCACAATTAGCTTATTGGTCATTTCACATACTCAATCACCTTTAAGCTATCAGTTATTTACCAAACACTTTTATATAATCAGTTAATACAATAAGTTAGTCAAATCAGTTAATAAAATCAGCTAGTCAAAATCAGCTAACTCAATCAGCTTCATCTTTCAGCTTTCAGATTTCTCCCAAACAGGGCCAAATAGTATTGTGTATGTTGATTTTAAAACCAGAAGTACAACAATGAGTAAATTTTACAAAGATACAATATTACAATTGACTATATAATACGTGGAATACAATATAGGGGTTGTTTATAAAAAAAAATTGCATTGTAAGATGAGTGAAGAAATGCCAGTAGAACATTATGGATGCAATGTGTAACTGAAAACTTATTTAAAAAAAATTAAGTATAAGGCTTACAAAAAGGAGAAGTGGCTAAAATTAAAGAGAGAAACAAAAAATGTTGGATTAAAGAATGGAGATAATGAAGTGAGCGTGAGAGATGAAGTATAGTTAGTTTGGTTTATTATTATTATTATAAAAATGACAAAAACCTGCAAAATCAATTAATTTACAAGAAATTGGTGGGGAGCCCATATACAATCTGGGCCCCCACCCCTCTAGCTATAGCGAACCCGATCCTGTTGAAGATGTGAGTAGCTACATGAGCACCAATATTCTGAGTCTTAGCGAACGCCCGAACTCGTTTCAGCAACGCAATATCATCCTTCTCTAATTTCCCCAATGAAGAAAAGGATAAAGGAAGAAAACAATAGCCAAAAGCCCTACAACGCGCCCCATACTTGTCCCGATTCCGCTGAGCTGCTGCCGGCAGAACACGACCAGGAACGAAGTTAGACAACCCAGATTGTGTCAAAGGTGAAGACCGCATCAAGTCAACACATACATCAAGGCCTCTATCCTAAGAATAAAGCAACACATCTGCTGGTCAAAGAGCCCCATCGTTCCCTTCGGTCACCCCAACGTTA